TGCACACCTTTGTTAAATAAATAAACTGTATAAATACATACATAAACATGGCTGCATAATTAATTTAATAATTTTAATTATCATTCAGTTTCCCCGTAAAAAAATGTTTTAGAATAATTTGCTACTAAAATGGGTATTCATACAAGGTATTTATTCGTAAATAATTACTCTTCTCTCAATACATATTTGATTCTAATTTACATTTACGTATGTAGGTTTACATGTGTATTGGATTATTATGTCATATATTCCCACTGCCATCACTGCGAACAATTTGGGTAATCAACAGGGAATCTTACTGGCTATCAAAATATTGAGGCATTTTTCTCTCACAAGGTAATGTATTTTTGAAAAGAAAGATTCAAGTTGAACAGAATTATAATAGCCGAGAAATTATAAAAATAATAAATAATTTCAAGGCATTTTAAAATTTTTCTTCTGAATAAAAAAAACACAAACGTCCATTTACTTTTATAAAAAGCATTTGCTTTTATGACGTCATGTCTCCTGGTCGCTGTCGCGGGAAACATCGTCACTTGTCGTAGGATCATCTTAAAATCTTATTGGCTTTCAAAAATTGAGGGAATTTTCTGTGGATATCCAATTTCATTTTTAAGGAAACGGCATGCATTTCACCAAACAGTAACAACAGGATTATCACAAAAATAATTGGAGAATTTTAGATAATTTTTATAACTTGTTTCTTTCCCGAGAGCAGAATTCGATGAAATGCGCGCTAGATCGTCACCCTTTGCCTCGCAAATCCGCAGCCGTTCCCTCCAGAGCGAATCGAACCACCTGCTGGGTCAGTCGCAAACGAGTGTGCGCGTTCTTAATCTTTGCAAATTGTGATTTTTGAAGTTTTTTTAGTGTGTTTGTGGTGCTAATCGTGTGATGTGAAGATTTATGGTGCTAAGCGTGTGAAATGGTAATTTGTTGTTGAAAGGAAAAACTCTATTTTGGTATTCAACGGTTCTCGCAGTCTCACCACCTGCCGCCACGACTTCCAAGGTCAGTGTTTTGATTTGAAAATAATTCCAACAAGATTTCTTGTTTAGCTATTAAATTGGTTCTCGAACTTTTCGTCATGTGATATTAAATTGTTGTATTGCATTACTGAGACTGCTGTGACGTGTACTGTACAATCTTCTTTGCCAATGTAGATTAACCTTATTACGGAATTAAAATTTACGAAAGTACTTGATGTTTACAGAAAGGGAATGTGATTTTTTAATTATTTTTCTTTCTCGACACGTACTTGTTACATCGGTTGTCAGTCCTATTAAGTCCAATTTATGTAATTAAAGAGAAAGTGTCTTTGATTTTAAAATCTACAGGTTAATTAGGTGCTAATTTTCTAGGATATTCTTGTTTACTTCATTTTATGAGTAATGAAAATTAAAAATCATGAATAAGTGATTATTAGGGAGTGGATTTCTATGTTTTTGCATTTTTTGTCCGTTGCTTTAGGGCATTGGTAAGTGAATTTTCTTGGCATTTGGTTAGAATTGGATGCTATATGGATTAATACGTTAATGCATTATTTGGCTGATTTTTTTTCCTGTTGGTGCATATTCGTGTAATTATAGGCGCATGTATTGTATATTCTACTCTAAATAGAGGCATTCATCTCTAAAATGTTTCATTTTTTTACCTCTATTTATTTGTGAACATTTATTGATTAGAAAGAGCTGAGCACAGCTTGCGTTTTTTCTTTCATACCTATAGGTGATAAAATACTTGCACAAATGAAGGACATTTCTTGATATATTTTTAAACTAGGTAGAAGAAATGCAACAACACAGTTATTCAGTAAAGCGAATATTTACTTCAATTATTTCTCCCGCGAAATAAGGATGATTATGTTATATTATCACAAAAATATATATTTATTCTAAGGAATCTGATCTTGAATCTTATCGGGAACGATTTATAGAGGAAATTACATATTGTTAATTTCAATTGCATATTAATGTGCATATTTCAGAAGCTTTAGGTCATAAATGCATATTTTTAAAAGCATATTTGAAGATTTTTTAGGGCATAAAAGTTATCTCCCTAGTGATAATGGATTTAAAGATTATTCTCGTAATCGGTAACCTAAACATTGTGCGACCGTAATATATACCACACATTTTCCCCTCTCTGTTTCAGATTGTTGCTGGATTTCTAAGGGAGAATTAGAAAAGCATGTAATTTGGTCAAAGTGTACGTGATGTGGTAAGTCAAAAACTGAGTGGGTGCCGTTCCTTCGCTTCGACGGTACGAGAACGCAATTGACAATAGAATAAAGTTCTTTTTAAACACGTAGTTATTTCTACTGTTTTTTTTACTTTAAATAAATAAATGCTCATTGTCGTTCTCGCTTCCGCGAGCGACGGCGCCCTCGCAGACGTACGTGTGCGGCTGCGTGCCTGGCGCTGCGTATGTGTTGGTGTCGCCGACCTCCGACTGCCTACGGTGAACAGTTGAGCGATCCCGACGCAGTGGTTCGCGTAATCTGGGAGGGACAGTCTCGTAGGGCGGTCACATCACTCATCAGAACAAAATGGCGCGTCACAATTGTGTCCGTTAATTCTTTGTTGAGTGTTGATATGTTTTGTTGCATTATTTTGTTTCGCCCGGTCCCTTAGCAGTTTTCTTTTAGCTTTGTTCTTGCAGGTCTGGTACTGTAAGGTACCGCAGCACTGCAAGGAGTTGTCATATACTTGCACTAAAAAAACTAACTCGGCCATACTATGAGTATCCTGTTATATAATATCGAGTATATTGACAGCTTCTTGCGATTAGAATAGAGCGGACACAATGAGCAAAACAACGGGCACACTCTTAAACATACATTGATAAAGGCAGGGTGGGTGTAATTTAAAATGTATGCGCAAGAAACAAGTTCTAAGAAGACATGATGAAAAGAAGCAAAATTGTCTTCAGCGCGCCCCTAAAAAGTGATATGCGTTTTACCATTATACGATTTTGCAGAACAATGTTACCATTTCAAACTTTTTCGCAGAGTTCCTACAGCGCGAAGCAACGGAAGATAATAAAAAATCTGGATAAAAATGGCGGTGAACACTGTCTGCAGACGGCTCTTGCTGACACGCCTGCCGATTGAAGAGAATTTTGGGTGGCAATCGAGCCCGACAGTAAATGCATGGCCAGGTACTTAGTACGTGGTAAGTTGCGATACAAAAGCACTTCAAAAGGGTTACCTATTTCCCTCTTCCGTCTGTTTTTCTCTCCTATCTTCTCTTTTCTCTCTAATCTGTTTTGTTCTCTTCGACTTTCTCTTTCCTCTCATCTACTAGTTTCCCTTTCCTCCCTTTCACCTCTTAGTCTTCTATTCCCTCTTTCTCTTTCTTCCTCTTCCATTTTCTGCTTTCACTTTCACTGTTTTCTTTCCTCGTTCTGTATTTTTCTTTTTATATGTTCTTTCTTCTTATTAATGTTATGCTATTTCCTCTGTTGGCCTCGTTCTTTTAACATCTTGTCATCTGTTATTTCTTATTCTTTTTTTCATTTTGCATCTTCTCTTTTCTCACTTTTTATATTCTGTCGTCTGGTCTTTTATTTCGCTGCCTACTGCCTCATCGTAGTGCATCTTATTTTATCCTGCAGTCATTTCTTGTGTCGTGACATTTCTGGTCTTCAGCCTTGACCCGTCTTCTGCTGCGTTGTGTAGTGTGTCGAAGAGGGTCTGATTTCTTTCCTCCGGTCGGTCTGCTCTTGTGGGGTGTTTTTGTTTTTTCGTGTCTCGTAACCTGTCGTATCGGTGGCGTCTTGTCTTGAGATGTGACGTGTGAGATTCTTGTAGTTAGTCGTGTTTCATCGGATTGTGCCTCCATTCTCATCTCTTGTTTCGTATTGTTTATTTCTTTCCTTTTCCTCCTGTTTTCGTTTAGTTTTCTCTTTTCCTTTTCTTTATTTCCTTCATCTTGCTTACTTTCTTTTTTACCTTTTTTGCTTTCGTTTCCTTTGTTTTATCACAGAGGAAAGTTTACTCTTTCTGATGAGGTTTTATTTATTTCCTCTTCTTTCTTTTTCTTCCTTTTCTTCTTTTCCATTTTCATTTCTTTTACTGTCGAATTCTTTGTTTTCTTTTTTCGAAATGTAATTTAGTTCAGTGTTTATAACTGTTAGTGCCGAGTGTTCAAATGAAGTGCTGTGCTTTCAAATTATGAGAGTCGTATTCAGCGAAGTGCATAATCAGCGCACATAAGTAGGGGACGGATTTTAATGAAATGTCATTTTTTCTTTTCACTTTAGAGCAATGCCGTTTAGTACAGAAATTCATTTTATGTTAGGAGGAAACGACATTACTCATTTTTGTCATTTTTTTGCATTTTTCGTCGATTTTGACTATTGTAATTTGTTTACCTTTTTAGGTCATTTTTCTGCACTTCTCGCTGAATCAATCAATTTTAATATCATTTAAATGGAATTTTTTCAAACAATATTCACGGAATGTAACAAATGTTCATCACACAATTCCTGAGCAGCCTATTCGATTTTTCGCTCATATTGTAATGTCAGCATTTTGAGTACTATGTAATCTAAGGTTCCTATAACGTTTATCGGCGTGATTGTCAGTTCGGCCGATTTCGCGATAAAGGCAGAGATTTTCTTTTAAAGAACAGTCCAAACCCAATGTTTGCGAACTGTGTTCACTTGAACAAAAAGAAGTCTCGATATCCAAGAGCTTGAGATGCTCATCTGAAATGAATTTGATCAATTTTTTAAATTTTACATGTCATCAAAATCCACCCCTAGTTATATGTAGATATACAATTCAGTTCAGTATTTTGGAACGTTCATGTTGAGTTTTCAAGAGATGAGTTGCGCTGTATTTTTAAATCGTGTGGAGTGTTCTGTGAAGCACGTGCTTCAATGAACCCTCTCCACAGCTTTTATTCAGAAAAATTATAATTTTTAAGAGGCATAAAATATAGTTTTGACAATTCTAACAAAAGGAATCGCGTGAACACCAAGAGACACGACCGCACATGAGCCATAAGGCTACTGGGAAGGAGGGCTCAATAAATTGTACTCCTAACGAGTGTGACGCCGATCCGCAAGGTCACTTAGAAGACGGCAATCTTAATGTAAAGGTAAGTTAGACTAGAATTAAGAATAGATTGTGATCGAACCTATTTATGATCCAGTGGATGAAACCTGCTCAATCTTCATAAGTCTTGGCTATTGTCTAATAATTTTCTAGGCGTTTGTAAGAGTTTTCAGAACTGAAATATACTCCTTGGTATATTGTGTATACAATGAAGTCAATGTGCAATGTTTTATTTGAAACAAACCACGAGGCACTGGCAAACAATCTCTAAGTGTTTGATCGAAATCTATGCAATTGGCTGCAGTGCCTCGAAGTTGTATTCCGTTGGTCCAGTCGGCTTTTAATATTGATTTATAAATCAAGAGTTTCTTAGCGAATGAGAGAGACGACTTTCTTCCTTGAAGCCAAAAGTATTGCTTAATTTTGATTTCGAGGGCTTTTCGATACGTGACTGCCTGGACATTTGTAATAAAGATGTAGACCAAGGTATTTTACGCGGTATTTATTTGTTAATGATTTCAACTGGAGGGCATCTATTTGATCCGAGTGGCAATGTCACGTGGACAGATTTGCTTTCATTTGTTTGTATACACCAATCAGTGAACCATTCCTGCAGCAGAGTGAGGTATTCTTGAAATTTTTCTGATGCTGCGAAAGCATTTTCATGGGAGGTTAACAACGCTGTGTCATTTGCAAACATGGCTGTCGTGATGTCTGATAGACTGATAGGTCGGCCGTGTATAGTAGATATAGTTGCGAACCGAGGACACTTCCTAGCGATACTCCATCGGCGACAAGATAGAATGTTTCTTCCATTAATGTTATTTGGAAATGTATTCCAGTCAGGCAGGAGGGAAGTAGTGCGAACAATGTGTGGGGCAATATATTTTTGATTTTGAGTCCCGAGTGTCACACTTTGTCAAAAGCTTGGACGACATCGAAGCGGACGCCAGAACAAGAAAGGTTTTTCTCCGGTGCTTCACCGATGACCTTCACTAGTCTGTGAATTTGTTTTGTAGGTCGTGTTTCATCCTAAAGCCGAATTGTTAAGTCTGAAATAAATTTGTTTTCTGCTAAGATTGAAAGTATTCGCTTGAGGTAAAGCTGGATTTTAGTTGAAGAGAACATGGATTTTACGACCGAAAAATGTAGTTCATATTGTTGAGGCGATTTCAATACTTTTCGTCCCTGTACTATAGTATAGGGAGGAAAAGGAACTAAGGATGCGCCTTCTCTCTACGCCATGAACTATGGTGACGATATAACTTGGTCTGACGCTTCAAAAAACTCGAATAGTTTCAATTCCATATTTCCAGCACGCAATTTTCGAAAATTCAGATATCGTCGAAAATGAAACCTTCACCTTCTTTTAATCTTACTTTATTTTATTCGTAAAGAAAAACATTGAAGTGGTTTTTGAAAAAACGTTCTTTTTATAATTTATATTAATTTCAATCAGACATTTCGTGAAAGTTAGGTTTTTTCAAAAAAAAAATCTACAGAACCTTTTGAAATACCAATTTTTTTTAGAACAGATTTTGTTGAAGACAAAAATCTACATCTCCAATTTTGTATTTTTGTACAATTAACTGTTTTCAATTTTCGGAAATACGGAGAGTTTCCTGAAAATGGAACTAGCGCCATATTCTTCCCTTCTGATACGTACGAAGAGAAAATTTTAAAAAAGTCTGAAGCGTTTTTTTTGAAAAAAATGTTTAAAAAATTGCCTTTATATTTCGCCCAAAATTACGCGAAAAATACGCATTTTCAAAACGAACCTTAAAAAAATTCCTCTTTCACCCGCATCTTTTGGTGTTTAGACAATAGATTGAAAATAAATGAGAAGAAATGACGAACAATGATCTTCACTGGGAAGAGATAACTCAACTTCAACAAACCACAACAATATACGATACCACAACTGATTGAACTCGAACGGTAAAATATTTAGGAATTGATTTTTGACAAAAGACCGAAACGAAACGAAACGATCGAGCTCAAGAATGCTGGAAAATCTCGTTCCAACACCTTAATAGACGTGGTCCTTTACTCCGCTCTCCCTATAATAACTAGAACCGAAATACGCTTCTACAAGCCCCGAGTAAGATCCGTCTCCTGATATAGAAATGAGGTATGGGCCCCAGCAGCACCAACTTTCATTGCATCACTCATCACAGCCAAAAATCTCTTCATCAAGACTACCTTCCATTGCCACAAACTTTCAATCATTAGCAACAACTAACCCTCATTCACTAACACGTTTAAGATGCAGACAAAGATACAACGAAACTTGTATTAAGTTGAAAGTATGATCAATCTTTCCAAAACTAGAGACGAAATAATTAACGAACAAAATCGACAGCTTTTTACTTGTCCCATGATTCAGCATTATTGGGTTGAAAACTGCATTTCGATATCGTAAACTGTCTGGAAGTTATGGAGGTGGTCTGTAGTCGGTGGGTCATTTTGTATGAGTATTTAATGAGCTAGGCCAACAGAAAATTGCATTTTTTGTACGTAAGTACCTTGTTTGCAAATTCATAAATGAGTAGGTTGAAATTCATGACAGCTCGTCAATAACCCGGAATACTTCCTGAATCTACACTACTCTTTCCTGGCCAGTCTAGTTCGATAGTTCCTCGCGGAAACGAGAATTAGCAAATACTCAAAACGCCCCTACTTGAGCCTCATAACAATTATCAAAACATCCATACTGTTTTGATAAAACACTGATAAATTAAATGATTAATAGCAGAATTCGTTTAAAATGTGCTTTGGAAGTACTATAATTTCATAAAAATCAGATTGTTAACTGGAAATTTAATTTTAAGATGGACACTGAAAAAAAAATGCGAGCGACTTCCCTTATCTTCAAATTTATCCCCAAATTAACAAGTTTATTGTTAACAAAATATGATTATTTGTTGTAAGAGAGAAAAAATAAAATAAATTATCGGTGTTACATACCAGGAAAATAACATTTCTATCGACCGTCGGAATGAATTTCTTGAATCTTTGCCAATGTAAACGGAACCGCTACATCTAAATCAATTCTAGATGTTGCCATTTACATTTTATTGTACATTGTTGGGCAGATTGGTACCGTACTAATAGTTTAATTCTGGTGTGATTTTATGATGTAGGTATTCGTAGTTTTCGCGTGAAATTTCCCAGTTCTTAGAAATGCGGCTGAATTTTAAAGCTTGGCACAGCAAAGTAATAGCTAAGTAATATATACTCTCTGGTAATAGGAAAAACTTTACATACTTAAAACATTCCGTATTTGTTGATACTTTTCAAAGTAAAAGATAAAATCAGAAATAATGTTCACCATTTCTTTAAATAGTTATTAAATGCTTCAAAAGCGATCATTAATATTAGTACAAGCTTCAGAGGATTATTATGAAAATTTGTCGAAACAGGTATTCTCTCTCAAAATTTACTTAAATGCTGAATATTTGCGGGAAATATGAGACCAATTGTAAGTGCTTAGACAATCTGATGTAAAACTTCAATTGGACAAACACCTTTTTTCCATCACGTCTCTGAATATGGAATTTTCTGATATGCATAAACGAGAAGTTTCATCTTCCATGATTTCTATTTCGTTGCAAACATTTTAAATGAAAAGTCATTCAGACGAAATCGCTTAGCTCTCGGGGAGCCACCCTATACTTTATATTGAGAAAGCGTCCAAAGTACTAGAAGTACAAAGTATCAATATATTAAATCCTGTATTTTTACTAATAATTAAATGATCTGTATTTGTGTGATGTGGTGTAAACACCCGTCGAATATTTCTGTAATATTTTATGAAAGTAATTAGTTTTATTTTCGTTTTAAATATTATTTCAGGGGTTTTACAAAACTGTGAGAAATGTGCCCACTGCTTAGTTTCGGTGAACGCTAATTTTTAATTAATTTGAGAATTCGGACTGCCAATGAACGGTACACTAGAACATTATTCTGCATCGCGCCTTCTCACCAAACGGAAGACGGAATATAATAGCAAGGACGCAAACCCTACGGACAAAAGAGTTTCCAGACGCGCTCGGTAGTCGCAACAGAACAAATGAAAATCGAAGACAGCCAGCCATCTTCCGAGCGTCATTTTACTGTGGGGGTGACGTTCCTATAGTATTTTAAATCTTATTTTTATAGTTTTGCTGCCTCTCACGTTGTTGAAGAGAAGATCATTGAAGCAGTAACGATAATGAGCGAAAGTAAAAGTGCTCAGTTATCTGATATCCAAGAGGTATGCTTATTTGTTTTGAACTCTTCGATGCGAACTACCGTTATTACCTACTTGACAGTTCATGCACATTTGTGCTTCTCCGTTTCTTTAAAGGAACAAATAACTTTTAGTGCCTTATTACAATGGTGTTCTTACGAGTTTGACACCTAAAAAAAATCATACAGCGTTTTATCGTGTGTGGTTGTTTCGAAGGGAAAACAATTTTTATGATGGCTGCTTCTGGTGAAGTTTCCTTGGCACTTCCCAATGACACTTGTAATTGAAAGCGACATCCCGCTCACGTCTATAAAAATTATTGAATTTTCATTTCAACTGGGTGCTCCTGCAATATGAAGCTGTGTGTTCTTAACTGTTTCTATTCTACCACAAAACTGATCAACACTAGGAGTTGGCACATTTATGCTTTTTCTTTACTATAATATCCAAAGTGCTTCCCAAACAAATAGCACTCAAAATTTTTTTTATTTCATTTATCTTTAACGATTGTAATGCAAATATATAATTTCAGATCGATGACAAAATGGATTCAGAGGATCAATTTTGTTTGCAATGGAATGATCACAAGAGCACTCTTGTTACAGTATTTGAGTCTCTTTTAGAAAGTGGTACTTTGGTTGATTGTTCTCTAGCTGCAGAAGGCCAATTCCTAAAGGCTCATAAAGTTGTTTTATCAGCTTGTAGTCCATATTTTGAGGTAAGTTCATAAATGAATCATGTTTAATAAGCTAATGATAAACGTTTAAACAAGCTGTAGTGTGTTATTTGCTACACTTTTTGAATTTCTCATATATCTGATGTGGTATTTGTATATTATGAAAGGCATTTAAATTTGTTTCTTCATGTAATTAATGTGATTGTATGGAGGTTAAGTCTTATGAGTAAAATGTTAATCATTCCTGGCAGTTGTTTTATACGTTACAAGACTGATTCATTGGATTCTAGTTTTTAATCTATATGCTAATATATAGATATAAATATGCAGATTGATGGAAATGAGGGTTATATACAAGTCTAAAGACACACTTGAAAGGGGGCTGTTGGTTGTAGTGCCTTGTTTCTTCCTATGAAATACAATAAACATAAATGAATAGGTAATTGCAATGTATCATATTGTTGCACTATTCTGCACTGTGCTATGAATAAGGAGTTCATTAGTTAGAGATGTAATTACGTAATTACAGTTAGTTACTGAATGAAGAGGTCCATCAAATTTTTTTATTGTAAGTAGTAATAAATGCAATGTTCCTATTAGCTACCAAAAATGAGAAACTTTTTTAATGAACTTGTGCATAAGTGCACCACTTACATATATGCCAAGTCTCGACAAAACCTACCTTTGAAATCTAGTTTACAGGTAAAAGATACAGTGATCGTCAATGTAACAAATAATAAATGCAGTTTTACCTCCAAAAGCTTTAAAAAGTTTCAAGATGCAGTATGTGTCCATTGTTAAGACAAAAAATGCGGTAAAACTTTATGCCAAGAAAATAGGTTCAACTTATGTTTTTTCATGCAATTTCAGTTCTTTATAAGGTGAAACTATATTGCTGTATATTTGAAATAAATATTCAGTAACTTTCTATTTTGCTATTTGCTTGTATACTTTTGGGTAACAAATTGCCTCAATGTATCCATCTATTGTATTGCATTTATGTATTCTTTCTAAGATTAAAGGCTCCTACACACTTATCAATTTGTCGGGCCAACTAGACAGTCGATCTGACCAATTGCTTTGTGTGGAGTTCAAGTGCCAAACAGAAAATTTTGTCAGCTGGTTGGTTTGTACTGACTAAAAGATCACCGATTCCCCCGCCATAATACCAGACAAATTGTATAGTGTGTAGTGGTGTTGGGTCAACTTGGAGTGATTCCAGACCTCAAAACCTTGGCTCAAATGTGAAACAGTTGTTTAATTGGAAAGTTCTCTGGAACATAAGGGTTTTGGAAGTCCCTGATTACAAATATATCTAAAAAACGAAGATCTAATTTTAAAGATAAAATTTAGCAGGAAAATAAATAAAACACAAATAGTAAATTTATTTTCAAAATTGATTTAAGTAAATTTGGACAATTATGAGAACGAAAGCAACATGTAGAAAATAAATTGTTTTTATTTATAAATTGTAGCGATTTCGTACTACAATATCAAAAGTTAATCATTATTAAATGGCTTAAAAACTCATTTATTCTTATATATCCCACCAATGCGGTTGCAGTGAAATGAAGCAACTTCAGTTGGTTTTGAAAGGTAATACGTAGTATATATATAAGAAAATTTGAAATGTGATTGTAATTATGTACTATAACTCATGTTTTTTTGAGAGTTTCTCATTCATTTTTTAACTTCAGTAATTAACAAATATTCAGTATTCACTTGAACATTGAAACCTTTAATTTTAATAATCTGATGGCATTATCGCTGCTGTTCTAAAACACCATTATACATGGTTAGCTTTCGAACTGGATTCTGAAGATGAATACAAAAGATGTGTTTCTCACCTGCATTTTTACTCTAACTAAGAGGATAAACTATTGTGAACATAAAAATCTCTAAAAACATTTTTTTTTAATTTTAGGCCAAATTTAGAGGTTGGGAATCACGGTGCGATAGCCAACAACAGCGCTTCAGTTTTGAGATTTTCATCCCACTCGCATAAACGTTGCCCAATTGAATTGTCGGGCTGTGGGTCAGACAATGTGCAGCCAAGAGTCCAATTTCGATGTCCCAATGGTTTGTCAGTTTGACGAATTGGAGTGTGTAGAAGCCTTTAGGGAAGTTCTCGTAGATTGGGTCTGAATTTAATGACAAATCATATTTTTTCTGAACTTTAGAGTGAATTTACAACAATTTATACACAACCAGGTATTGTAGTATATAATTTTTTTTATGATGCATATAAAATTCCTATTTAAAACTTTTTTAATAAAAGGCTGTATTTGAGTCTAATTTGAACAGAAATGCATGCATTTGTCAAATTTTTTGAAGATAAAAAGAATAAAAAGTGACTTGCTTGTATCAAGTAACATTGTCACAAATAAATACAACTCTCTTGAGTTTTATTTGAAATGAAGTCAAGCAGCATAGTCATTTCGGTGTCATCACATTGTTGGACTGGGCTAACAAAATTGTCATGAAGCCGGCTGAGAAAATAAAATTGAAACTTCTAATTGGATGACGATCCCCCTTCTCCTTCCGGAATAATTATAATATTCTTTTTCAATATCGGGACTACAAAATATATTTTTGTTGAAATCTTGAAATCAATTTTCTGCACCAGTACAAAGTCTTCTTTATATTATTTAATATATTAGTCTGTATATAAGTACTACATACGTATGAAGACGTAACTAGTTGGTACAACAGCACATGCTTTCTTGCGTTATTTCTAAATTTGCAACAATGAAAAATTCTAGTTCTAAGGATATGAAACCACCTCAATTTTTTTAAGTGTTCCTGGTTCTATATATGGAAAAAGTTTAAAGAAACAATTTGTGGCTGTTTTTGAAAAAAATGTTTTTTTTATTATTTTTATATATTTATACAAACTCTTAAATATCTGAATTTATGAATCAATTTTGTTTAAGGCAAAAATATCTATCTTTAATATTGTAGTTTTGGAATGTTAATGTTTTGGAATCCAGACGGTTGGCCAGAGATGAGACAAGTACCACTTTTTTCTGTCCTTTTATACGTGAGGAGAAAATTTACAGAAAATATTTCAAAAGGTTTTAAAAATAATAATTGTTTTAAAGAGATTAAAAATTGCTATATTCCATGCAAAATAACATGAAGAAATCTCATAATTTCGAAAAATTGTACACAATCTAATTTCAAGATCTGTAAAGATCCTAAAAAACAGATTTTACTAAGGAAAAGATCTCTTATCTTCAATATTATAGTCATAGGAAAACACTGAAGAAAATTCAAACTTAAGCATTTTTTTAAAAATCTGGGATTTCAATGAAAACGCTGGACCAGCGTCCTTTGTGCTATTCAAGGACGAGGTTTAATAAATAAAATATATTGAAGGCATTAAAAAAAAATGAATATGTTGAGGCTTCATGTGAAGTACTCCTCAAAATCAGAATATCTCATAGAAACTCTGAGTGGCTTTAGTTCCTTCAAATTGATCAGAGGATTACTTTTTGAGAAAATCAGCTTTCGTGCAAGTGTTGACCTCGAACACACACACACACACACACACACACACACACACACACAGAGACAGCCAGAGAATTTGCTCTCAATTAATTTTGCTGTCGTGAACCCACAAAACTATGTAATTAATAATGTTATTGTGAAAGGGATTGATGTACAATATTCTTAACATTCAGTGTACTCCAAGATATTCAGTGTTTTCCAGAAAATGTCCATGAATAACTGTGATAATTGTTAGGACTAGGAAAATTGTTAGGAAATGTGACTATGTATGAATCTGTTATTGTCTAATACAGTCCTGAAAAAGCATAAAAGAATGTACCAATTCTAGAAAATCTTTTTTGTATTTCCTGGAAAATAGGAAATTGTTGTTATAAATTCATGCTAAATGTTATTTTTGGAAAGTCTTCAATGAACTTAATTAATTTAAAAATAATCTGAGAAAATTTTTTCCAGATGTTTCAAACATTTTTATATCAATGAAAATGAACTTTATAAAGTATTGTAGAAAAATGAACAGGAATAAATTATGAAAGGTAATAACACAAGTAGTTGGGAAATTATAAGACTCGCAAAGCGAGGCTGGGATTTATCTGAGAATTTCCAAAGCACGAGTAGTATTTAATGGGACTATTCCACGAGTGAAATTATGTCCAACAGAGTACGACAAATGTTGAAAATAACTGAAAGCCAAAATTAAAATCAGAGGTTAAGGTGTAGTACATATGCTGATAATTGGACATCGACATAAAGATCAATGTATAATACCTAAGATCGATCAGTCATAGTTTACGATTGTCCAGAAGTAGTAAGAAAAATTGAATAGAAAAAGGGATAAACTTTTTGAGATGCACCGCCCTGATTGGGGCATTTTATATGTACAGTTACTCTATTGGTTTTTATGTCACGAGGGAAATAGTCATTGTAATGTTCCATAGTAATGAATAAATAAGCCATTTCCTCCAAAATAGTTTCTAGTAGCTGTGGTAAGATGCTGCAGAATTTCACAGTAATGGGAGAAAATAAGTTGAAGACTTAAAATAAGTTGAAGTTCAGACTGCAAATATAGAAAAATTTTGGTTACATTTATACAAAATATACATTATATATGTACATTTTTATATACACATACGTGTGTACTCGTGTGAACATTCATTAAGCATCTACATCCCATGTACCCACACTTCGCACATATGTTAATTTTGCATTACCAAAGTAACTTCCAAATAAATAAGTAAAGTCTTTTTACTTACAAGTGTTTGGGGAAATGTATATTTTTAATTCTGTAATTAATATGACAAAAATTCCTATAGATTGACCTTTTCAAGGCATCAGATGACTACATTTGAAAGTGTACCCTTAAGATTATCTCATCAATTGTTATGAACCTTAAAAAATATTAAGAGTCTTTCCATGGGTATTCAACTTACTATCATGGTCTTTAATTGCTAGCAGGCTTATTCTTGGTGTTGGTTATTAGATACACAAACCTTTGAATATGTACTTACTTACTTTTTGTGCTAATGTGAAATTCTGATATTATTGAATTACTAATATTCATAACTATTACACAATTTCTTTCAGATTACGTTCCTTTCATGTTTCCATTCTTCTTTCATTTGAGTTGTAGAAATTAATGAAGGAATCTCAACTTCATTTTGAAATATAACTTGTTAAAGGTTGTTGGTTGATTTTGTCATAGAATATTTTGATTCGATTATACATATGAATGAATTGCAAATCACAATTAATTCTGTGTGTTTCTTTGATTCATATTTTTCGAAATTTGTTTCTGTTTCCGGAAAAGAGCACAGGTTACATTTGTATCTGTCTGCTCTTTTCTTATATAATGTATGGTACATTTAAATGATTATATTTTGCTTTTTTTCTTCTTTAGCTATTGTTCAGTGAACATAAGGAGAAACATCCCATACTGATCTTAAAAGACGTGAAGTTCCAAGAACTGAAGGCTCTAATGGATTATATGTATCGAGGTGAAGTGAACATCCCTCAAGATAGACTTCGTGCTCTTTTGGAAACTGCAGAGTCATTGCAAATTAAAGGTTTGGGAGGCTGCAAAACAGGACTTGAAAGCCCGAGAAGTCGCCGTAATTCTGATAGTGTTGACGTACCTAGCTCGTCAGCTCTTTCTCGTATTGCGCGTGCAGGAGCCGACGCTTCACAAAATGCCCAAGATGGGTCTTTGATGAACGCAAGAAAAGGCAATGATTCTCCCATTCCTCGCAAGCGCAGCCGGCACCATCTCCATACAAGTGCAGAAGAAGAAACTTCTAGTCGTGCTCAAACGTCTGACAGTTTTGAAAAGAGAAGCGATATATCGTCTCGAACTTGCCCACCCGCACCTCCACATCCAACTCCTAAAGTGGATGTAACTGTCGTGCCCTCCACTCCTGCACCTGTTTCTTCAGCTTTGAGTTCTGGTGGCAGTACGACGATTTCTGCCATCAGACGTGAGTGGGCTGCCAGGGAGGTGGAGGGGTCGTCGTCGCCTATGCAGGGCAATGTGTTGTCTCGAACAGACTTGTCGTCAGGTTCTCAGTCAGACATGAAACCTGAACCAACAGTTGAAATACTGTTGACCCCAAAGACTGAATATGTGGAAGATGTTGGTGATGAGGATACCAGGGAGAATTCAATTGTGTTGGACGATGCAGATTATATGGCAGAACCCAGATCGGGACCTTCTCATGCTGAGGATGGTTCGAGCAATCAAGGTCCAGGTGAGTGCATGAAATACTTTTGTATTGCAGACGTTGTAGGTTTTTCTTGTTATACCAAGATTTGTATATTAGCAAAGAATAAAGGACAATTTGTTTCGAAATGGGTTGTGTTGTAAATATAAGCAATTGATGGAAAATGATTTTCCTGTCTCTTTAATTTAATGAGGGATATTGTTATTGTAATCAGTATAGTAAATTAATAGTGAATCTTGTTTTGTTTTTGGTAATAAGTTATTGGGAAAATTTGTCCATGGAATTCTAGTGATATGCAATGGGGTATTACTGTAAATTTTGTGTTCCTAAAACTACCCAGAAAAATGGATACCGTTGAAATGCTTATTGAAATTTCAGTAAGTTCTAATTTAAATAAAGATTTTTTTTTTGTCCAGTATTTGTAATTTTTTGAGAGATTTCAGAAGCGTAAACTTCATTTGCAATCTTGCAAAATGTCTTTGATAATTAAATTTGGTTATTTAGCTCCTCAGCCCAGCTGAAGCATATTTCACATACCAGGGGGTGAAGGAGGGAAGGGAAGAAAAAAAGGAGCAGTTTTTGAGACTTATCCTCTCCACATTGAAATTTATCCACTTCAGTAACAGACCTGCAAAACAACTTTTTCTATTTAAAAAAAAAATTCAGTGCTTTGCTTTTGCATTGGGATACTCTAAGGAGTGGGCATGAAAAAAAAAAAAGAAACTTCTAAATGAAGTTTCTCTTTCTACTAGGGCTACCAGCTTTTTGTACTAGAAAAAAAAAGAGGAGATTTTCTTGTAAGTGCTGTCCCTTAAGAGATATAGATAGAAAATAAATTGGAATCAGGCTGCAGTTTAGTTTTGAAAGATAGGCCAGAAGCCACACAACAATTTGGGAACATGGCTGAAGAACCCACTAAAACGATTGGAACTGAAACAAGCAAAATGAGAAAGAGACGTAACATAAATTCTGTATTCTTGAAAGCAAATTGAAAGACAAGCTCTCACTATTTATAGGGAAGCTTGTGGGGATTCCCATAGATTTGTGGCAAAGAATAGGAGAAACTGCTGAGGAGGAGGACAAGTTGGGCTGTGACCTTGCAAAGAAGGCTCGAAGTAGTGAGCTGATGTTTGCGGAAATGGAATGCTATTGTATATGGAGTCCGTGGATGGGAATCCAAAGAAGTGTTGTACTGTGGATTTGGAGGCAAGTTGAGAAAGTTGCAGAGTTGTGGGATAGAGATGACCATTGAGTTGTATTGAATAGCTGCACAGCACGCAGCAACATTTTTGTCAATGGCAAGAAAAGCCTTGAGAGGCTTAAACTGAATAGTGACTGCATGCCAATGCAGAGGTGAAGAGGAGAAGGAAGGGAGAGGAAAAGGAGCAGCAGCCTTTGCAAACAAGTACTTCACATCTCACAGCTGCATTTGGTTCATTTGTGCTTGACATTAATCACTTTCAATGCAATATTGCTGAAGCCCAATTTACCAATGACAAGATAAATGAGCAGGGACAGTAGCAAGATATGTTAAGCACAAGATATAATCCTATGAAACTTCATCATTCAGGATACAAAACGTTGAGGCTGTGGGGTTGAATGGTGATATATGCAGACCAGCCTCATCTGATATGTTATTAAACCGTCTGATCAAAAACTCTTCGAGGGGCCAGGGGCTGGGGGGCATACCTCCTCCCCTCCCAAAGGCCAAGAGTTTTGGTTTGTGACATTCTTTTATTTGGCAACATTGATTTAAATATGAATGATACAATTATGTCATTATTTAAAAAATACTGTATAGTATCAAATGTACACTACAAAAATAATATACAATCTAATAACAAATGTTTATTATTTAACATGGCCCTCTCCAAAATGATCTGATGGATTTGCCTCTGTCTTGAGGGGAGTAAACCACAAGCTAGTTACAATTGTTTGAGACTTGAACTTCCTTAGTGTCACTTGGACAGAGCGTGAAGCTTTCGTAAGAACAGAAGTAGAGTGGGGATTCTTACATCACTACATTCATTCAAATCTTAGTCAGACTTGAAGGGAAATCAAGAGTCTAGCATTGCTTGATGTGGTGACTTGACTGCCATCAAATGAAGATGTCACCTCTTGATCTGAAACCACTAATTGGCTTAAGTGATCATGTTGTAACATCCTTACATATTGAGACCAGTAGAGAGAACTTCAACACTGAGGAAGTCGTAACACTAAAATTACTCGAGAGCCAATAACAATGCAAAAGGAGAGTCTTCGAACAAACCTTTTGTCGAGGAAGGTAATTGAAGATTACAATAGAATTCTGTGAGATGACTCGTCAACTGCTTAGTACACATTCCCTGCAAATGAAAAAGGAAAAAAGGGTTAAACAAGCTATGGATCAACGGAGAAATTATAAAACAATCTAGGATGAAACATTGTGCGTGGATGGAATATAAAAGAGTTGGAAAGGATGTGGAACTGGGAACCAAATTAAAATTGGAGTTGAATGGCTATGAAGATAATACCAAAATTTACAAAGGCCTAACATTACACTTCTGTGATATTCATGAAAACTTGCCGGATTCAGGAGTAGTTGACTATTTGGCTGTTTCCCTGGAGTATTTTACACTTGGAAAAGATGCCCCAGGTACTAGTACTCAATCGGGAAGCTAACACTAACACCTACAATACCTTGAAAAGATCTAGAAGAACTCTTAAGGTGGGAATGAAACAGGAGAGGCAAGAAGCTGCAGTCACCAGGAAACCAATGTTCCACACTCTGCCTCACAGGAAGAGTTTTCTCGAAGCTTAAATTGCCTTCTGTGAAGAAAATTTACACAATGTACATAAGGCCAGTTTTGGAATAAGCAACTGTTGTCTGATCTCCAAATTATAGAAAGGATATACTAGAGAGGGTACAAAGGTGATGAGCAAAAATATATACTCAAGCTACGAGGCAAGATGCCATGAATTATCCTTACTGACATTAGAGCTGAGAGGACCTCATAAAGATCTTCAAAATTTTGAACAAGGCTTGTAGCGCTCAAACTCTTAATGTTTCGAAAGGTGCTCGGATTCGCAACTCAAGAGGACATCAGTTGAAAATTAATCTGAAACTCCCCATTGCCAGAATTTTTTGAAAGACTAAGTAGACAGTGCATGGAAGAGTATATTACCGCAGTGTGTGAATGTAATCACAATAAACTCATTTTTGATATATTTAGATAGTTTTTTTTGAGATATGAATTTGTTAGTATTAATTTTTATTGTGATTTTATACCAGTGTAAACTTGAGAAACAAATGTGTACAATTGTCAACATTTGTGTATATCTACTTGAGTTGCTGCCGTAAATAAATGAGTTGAATTTAAACTGAGACAATCTTCAAAATATTGTTTAAAAAAATTTTAAGTATTAATATTGCTAAATGAATTCATAATATGTACATCATTTTTCATTGTATTTATTATTCGTTAAAAATAATTTATTGTTCTGTATGTTTTGAAAAGGGTGTAGAAAAGAGTGTATGGCTTCCCTCTGGAGATGCTTTTTTATTTTTATTTTTTAATTTTAATATAGAAACAAATACAAAACTTGGGTACAAACTTTGAAAACCTTACATTGCAAAATTGACAATCACTAATTCCGAAAAGAGCTGGGTCAGCTATTTTCTATTTCTAATATGTGTGAAGTCTTGTGCAGTAGTATTGCATTTTGTTTCTTAGTGCAAATGATTAATTCCTTTTGTTTGGTAGCGTTTGCCCCTTGGCTGAGTGTCGCTGAGTGGGCAGCTGATGATGTGGTGCCGCCTCATGCAGTTGGCACTTTCCGGGACCCCCCAGGTGAGATTAAGAGATCAATTTTTTTCTTGCTACCTAACTTGTGTCAGGATACCTGGGTGTTTAGGAAATCTTGTGTGAACTCAGTTTAATCTTGCACAAAATGTTTGCATTTCATTATGTCCCTTTGAAATGTAATAAGGAAATCGATTTTGAGTATTGATTCTTAATGTTAGAAAAATAACAGATTTGAAAAGATAAAGAATATTCTAATGGTAGAAGGTGTGGATTGTGAAAAATGAAATCCCAGATTTAAATGTAGTAAAAATACCTGAAATGTGACTTGTAATATTCAGTAAGAATCTTTAAATTATGCAGTTTAAAATTTGCAGGACAGTAATGTTTGTACTAAAAACAATGAAAAGCATATCAGATATTGATTGCAACAGAAATGAAGTTTGTATTATGAAATTCAAACATGGCCATAAAGTGTTGATAGAATTGTTTTGAAAACCATTTTATTTTTATATAAATATCATTTTTTGTTATACTTAGAAAATAAATGAATTCATTTTATTAACTGTACATCCAACTCTGTACTGTTAGTTAGGTGTAATAAGGCTAATAAAACAAAACAAATCATTTGAAATTAATCCGTTGAGGACAAAGAGCACGATTGCAACAGGCAATTAAGTGTGCAGAGAAATTTGTAAATAGGAGCATTCAATTGGTGTAAAAGCTGGTAATAAAATATTAAAGTGCACATGCTTTATTGTTAGTCTGGTGGGTTAGGAAGTTCAGAATTTTCTTTCAATGTCAAAGTTTCTAATGTGCTTCAGAAAACTCCACTTTATAATTTGTTAAAAATAGGAATTGTTTGCATTGAATCGTAACAATCCGTTTAATTATCCTATTTTATCTTCAGACATGTTTACATCCATTGGAAACTTTTAAAATTCAAGTAGATCAATCTTTGGTTGAGAATCGGTGGATGTATATTGAAACAAGGAAACTACAACTTTAAAAGTTCCCCAAATCCTGTTATTCATATATTTTTACTTGAAGGGATTTTTAAAAATTATTTATTTGTTTATTTATTAACTTCTTCATTAATTTTTGTTGAAAATCGGTAAAAACTGTATCAACATATTTTTACACATAATTCATACTTTGTAATAAGTATAAAAATTATCAATTAAAAAAAAATTGTCTAATACTCAAAAACTTAATAAATATAATTTAACAATAAAATAACTTAACAAATATAATTAAATAAAATATAGTAAAATAGTATTAATGTAGTAGTAATAATAGTATATGATACTTTTTAATAAAATACAATTTTGCAGATAAGATAATAAGATAAAAGTTATTCACGAGAAATTACCATTATCAAAATAACATTTAGAACTAAAAATACTAAGTTGTTTACAATTCCAGACTAGTGATGAGATTCACAATGTCCTTCTGTCTTATATCCACAAAAATTTATTATCTCACGACGTTGATTTACTCTTTTTAGTTGGGTTTATAATTAAGTAATTTTTGTAGTGTTAGATTCCCCTTTTTTAAATTATATTTGAATGCTCTATTATTTTTCCAAAATTGTGAGCATTGGTTGTTTCTTTCAATGTACTAGTTGCATAAACATTGCATTAATGTTAAAGCCAATGTGTTGCATAATTCAAAATTTAAATTATAAGTGATAGTTATCAACCTCAAGATATTAGATTTTCCTTTCTTGGTAGATCTTTTATCAAATAACTGAAAAAGAGCATTGTCTTGATCTTTTTGTAGAGGCTTTGCAGCCCAAGGAAGATAATTTGTGTTACATGAATAAGAACTAGACACGAATACATGTTTCTTCTTCTTAAATCGACAACATATTTTAATTAAATATGGAGATTTTCAGTAACTAGTGCTGTTTACAATCATTTGTGTCTACAAAGCTACTTCTCAATTGTGAAACATACAAAATTTGTGCGGATTACAATATTATTAAGCGAGAAATACTTGAAAGTGAATAGATTAACCATACTTGTTGACGTTTCTCTCTTTAAATTATTTTTAATTTGCTTTGTGCAGGCTAAATATTGTTGATGTTGAGTGTGAATTTTAAGAAATGTGTTACAGAGGTTATATTCGATAGTTTTGTTTTTGCCACTTTTGTTTGCTCATGCTGTTCCCATTTGGTATATTATTAAAATCAGAATATTTTTAATGAAAGATGTGAACTACTGCATTCTTCAGTTTCCAGGAAATGTAGATTAAATATTTGCTTTTGTTCTGTAATTAAATAAACTTAAAATATTTCATTTAAATAATGAAAAATGTAAGATTGTGAATAGAATGGGAATCAATGGCAATGTGTTGTTGAAAAAATCTGTTATTATTATGGCAAAAGATCATTCAGGTAATACAAGAGAATGTTACATCTTTCATTACTCCTAATAGAATGATTGTATAAATCAAGGCCATGTTTTTAATTTAATTGAGATTAACGGTTTAATTTTATGATAGCAAAAATCTCTCAGTGGCTTTCAAGAAAGGCATGTTATGTTGTCAATCCTTATTTATGAATTAACTTGTGTAACATATGAGAAGGTTGGATTAATATAATTCTGCATTCTCATTGAACTTCATTATTTGAATATAAAAATTGATCAGAAGGATATATCTGTTCATAAAGTGTCATTTAGTTAATCCCTATTGTTGGTTCATTCGGTCAGATTTTGAGTTGGGGAGATTTAGGAAAATTAGAATATGTGCCTCGATTGTCGGTGTGATTTGAACCTCGTTTTATTTTGATTTGAAGAGCTTGAAAATAATGAGAATAATGAAACTTTGTAGAACATCCAGCGTATCCTGCCACAAGTTACCGGACCAGTTGAAAGAGGCAGCAGCTTTATCATTTCATATTCTTATATTTTTTTAAAATTTGTATATTATGTCGATAATTAAGTATTTTATTCATGGATTATATTGACTTCTATTTTTTTGAAGGTAGAATTTACTTCTCTTCAATGAGATTTTTGATATGAGACTGTTTGTTAATCGTGATTAAAATTGAAACTGTTGCCTCATTGAATCGGTCATTTTTCTTAATGAAAAATCGTCATAAATTACGTGCGTTCATTTGGAAAACAAATTCTCTGCTAAATTTTTATAAATGGTTGTGTTATTGTTCAAAAATATTAACTATTAAAGTGATTCAGTATCTTCAGTTCATGTGTAAAATGATTTCTTTCTATTGTGTTATACTTTGGTTTACTTACCCTGTTTGAAGTGTACGCAAAGGTCGATTGAGTGTACTCAAAGGCAAGTTGGGAAGCGTGCTTGTGATTCTTTTCATATCATCCTTTCCTTAGATTCAATAGAAAATAAAAATTCTATGATATAATAACAATCAGTACCAAGTTTCACACTACTCAAGATTTTATCTTCAGTTCTCCACATATTTTAATTATGATATGAACCATGTAACAAGAAACATATGTATGTAGAATCTTTTTTTTTCTAAAGAATTGCATGTTTTTCACAAGAATATTTTTGGAATTTAAATTCCATTAAATGTAATCGAGAAGTCTTGTGCACACCCAAGTGCAATACAGTTGACACGTTTTTTTCAGGCTTTAGTAATTCTTCTTAGCCGAGAAGTACTCTCAATGCATTTGTGAAATTGAACCGATAGACACTTTCAAATAATAATTCAGACTAGTTGCGATTTTTTTTGTACTTAGTGATCATTTCTGAGTTGTCCAGTATCATTCATTTCAGCAATAGTTTTGATTAGCTCGAAACATGCTGAGATCTATTTTCTGCTTTGCCATACCCTGTGCCTGATGGATCTGTTGCATGCTCTCCCCAGTGGATTCCATCGTCTCAGAGGTGGCGTCAAAATCATTGTGAATATTGTAATTCATTGGAAAGATGATAATATTGAAGAGAGCTGGAGGTGATACCAATTCTCACCAGAGAAGGAGACAATGTGTTACGATATTATGAAGGCCAAGAACTTGCCTCCAGCTGTAATTTTTGTCTCTTTGCAATTATTACCATCGGGTACCATGTTCTAAGAAGGAATTCAGTTTAGTTCCTGTGATGCACAGTGTATTCTCAGAATCCAACAGCATGTGTATTAAATTACATTCACACGCTCTCAGAAGTCTCGTGAAATCTGTGTAGACTTTGTCAATATGTTGTCACAGTTGTATGATTCTATACCTACCTTCATGAAGTATGTTATTTAGTATCTACGTATATGTCATCAGATCTCAGATAATCTATTTCTCAATAGAGTTGAATGGAAAGTATCCTGTAGGCTAATTGTAGTTTATTTAAAAGGGTCATGAAACAATAAAAAGACCACTATGCAAGAATTCCGAAAAACATTTGATAACCTTTTCTATCTATCTATCTATCTATATATATATATTTGTTCAGAAAGAAAAATTAACCCGAAATAAAAAAGCACCCAAATTACACAATTCAACTTCTTTTTAATTTCTCGGTTAATTTTTCTTTCTGAACATATTTATAAATTTCTCTTGTTAATAATGAACAATTTATGTAATTCTGTAGTCTTTCTGTGCTTTTAAAATGCAAATTTTTGCCTAGAAAGCATTTTTTCAAATCAACTTTTGAGTATTTATTTCAACTCAGCCACTCAGAATATAAGTAGTTTATCAGACAAAATATGCTTAAAATTGTCTTGTATGCCTTTTTTTTGAATTTTCGACGTTTCCTCCCCGGACAACCTGTATATTCATAGATCAGAATCATTGATGTCTAATTGTTTTTATTGTAAATGAAGGCTATAGATTTATCTAATAAGTGATAATTGTAATGAAGGTAATGCATTAAAAATTAAGGTAAAAACAGGTAAGATAGTTCAATTAATTTCAATGGTTTGTCCTTCAGGAAGAAATTGGTTGATACTATAATAAAAAATGTAATGATGCATCATGCATCAAGAATTGTAATTGATAAATATATTAGCATGAACTTGAATGAAAATTCTATTGTAGGTATGATCTTTGTAAGTTTAGATTAGATCATGTGTA